AAACAGGGATCTTAACTTGTCAAACCTGTGTAAAAAAAAAAAAAAAAAGAGACGACAGAGACAGAGAGAAGCAGAGAGAGAGACAGAAAACAGAGACAGAGAGAGCAGGACAGAGAGAGAGAAGGAAAGAGACAGAGACAGAAAGACAGGACAGAGACAGAGAGAGAGAGAGAGAGACGACAGACAGGACAGACAGAGACAGGGGAGACAGAGAGACAGAGACGACAGAGACAGAGAAAGAGACAGAGACAGGACAGAGGACAAGACAGAGACAGAGACAGAGACAGAGACGGGAGAGAGAGAGATGAGAGAAGGAGAGGAGAGACGGGGACGAGACAGAGACAGAGAGAGACAAGAGAGAGAGAGAGAGACAGAGACAGAGAGAGAGAGAGAGAGACAGAGACAGAGACAGAAAGACGGGGAGACAGAGACAGAGAAAAGGGAGAGACAGAGAGAGAGAGAGAGACAGACAAAAGAAGAGAGACAGAAACAGAGAGACAGAGAAAGAGACAGAGACAGAGACAGAGAGACAGAGAGAGACAGAGACAGGCAGAGAGAGAGAGAGAGAGAGAGAGACAGAGACAGAGAGAGACAGAACAGAGACAGAGACAGACAGAGAGAAGTGTTGCAACCCCTGAATGGGTCACAATGTATATGATGTATATAATGTATATTACCTTTTCATATAATTTTATATTGCTTATATTTGCGAAAATAGCTAAATCGTAAAAATATTGCTTTATATTATTATTTGACTTATTTATGTTGTTAGGTAGGATGTAACATTAATATTATGTGCTCATAGTTCAAGCCTTGATTGTCTAACTACTGTAATTATCGTTGGGGCTCGTTACTTCTCTGCCGGCTTCTGTGTTGCTGAGTAGCAACTTCTATGGGAGATATCACATGATCGAGGAGGGGGGGTGATCACACCTCACCTGAAGTAGTCAGTCTGGTCTAGACTTGAAATTAAAAAATGGTATAAAATACCGACAGGTTGTTAGGTAAGACACATATGCAACAGTTAGGGATCTTTTTTATGAAACGTTTCGCCTACACAGTAGGCTTCTTCAGTCAACTTTTCTGTACTTGACTGAAGAAGCCTACTGTGTAGGCGAAACGTTTCATAATAAAGATACCTAACTGTTGCATATGTGTCTTACCTAACAACTGGTCTAGACTTGCTTGGTGGTTGGACATATTCTACACAAGACGAACCTAAATCTCCCTTATTGGCCCTTGGAAGATCGTCTCTGTCTCATTATTGTTTTAAGTTCTGTGAGACTCTGTTCACAGAACACTGTATAGACTTAGTGATTTTCGACGTTGTACTGAGGTTGTGTGTCGCAAAGACGCTCTGAGCAACTCAGGTCCTGATCTGTAGCTTCTGACCTAACTTGTACTGGTATCTGTGTACTGTCACAGTCGGGGATTTTCTTATGTGACTTTTGTGGAGGATCTGCTGATGGTCCCTACTTAGTGTCGTTATATTATCTCCTTGTTCCTGATTCTGTGTCGCAGTTGCTTGTTATATTGCTATGGCTTAGCATTCTTTTTATTGTTCAAGCAGACTGTTCTGACTGCCAGTTGGTCAAAAAGTTAGTTTATTTGAGGACTTCGTCAGTCACTTGTTTAAGTCTAGTCGAGTCGTGAGACATAGCAAACTACTTAGAGCACTTACACACATACACACAAACTTACTTGTACATATTTGTAATATCTTATTAAATGTTAATGTACCAGACGGTACTTAAGAATTATAAATGTGATATGTGCTTTCAGCACAATAATACTGTACACGAGGGAAGTGATTATTCTTATTTTGTTGATATTGATTTAATTTGATATACGCCTAGACAACTTAATTATTAATAAATTTATTAAATTTTAATTTCTCTAGTTAGTAGCCTACCAGTTGTAATCCTGAAGCACTATTAATTCTTATTGAATTCTAATGGATAATTGGACAAGGATACTGACTAATTGTTACGAAAACCCAGTAACAGGCTGGTTGTTAGAAGGGCAGTCCTTTCTAGTATTCACTGGAGATCTCTAAGCTTTTTAGAAATCGCATTTTTTGTAAGAGAGAGAGAGAGAGAGAGAGAGAGAGACAGAGAGACAGAGAGAGACAGAGAGAGAGACAGAGAGAGAGAGACAGATACGTATAGACAGAGACATATACGTATAGACAGAGCCAGAGCCAGCCAAAGCAAGCCAAAGCCAGCCAGCCAGCCAGCCAGCCAGCCAGAGCAATCCAATGCCAGAGCCAGCAAGAGCAGCTAGCCAGAGCAAGCCAAAGCCAAAGCCAGCAAGAGCAGCCAGCCAGAGCCAGCCAGCCAACCAAAGCCAGCCTGCCAAATATGTATTTCACGTTCCAGAGTCGTTTTTCTACTTAGGGCATAGGTTAAAGGACATTCTGACAGGATGACACTACCAGTGGTATCAGAAATGAAAGGATGTTGCACAAAATGTTGCACATGGGTTATTATTGAGGTTTTTGATATTTCTTCAACCACTTGTGACCACATCCATCTCAAAGCCACTAAACTCTGGGTCAACATGACTTTCCTCTTAAAAGGGGTGTGTTAATACGACATGCCATCAGTGAATCCCTGGTGTTTGCCATGCTATTTCCTCTAACTGGCACTCAATTGAACTGGTACTCCCACAAGGTACTAAGTGGTCCCAGATTTTTTTAATACTGCACACACACTAAGTGTTAAGACCCATTCTATACTAACCAGGCATCTCAGGCCAATTGTGCCAAATTTGAAGACAGGAAAAATAAAACGTAGATCTACATTTGGAGTGCTAGCAGTACAAACGTAGATCTACATTTGGACAGTTTAAAGGTTAAGAGTCATACAATATCTAAAAGAATGGGAGGCAATCAGGTTCGACCAAGGAAATGAAAGATAGGTTCAATTTCTTGGAACAAGGCACCTTCCTTGAGTGGCATAAGCACCACCACCCAGCTGATCATGATCAGACTGGAAGAACTTGTACAGTCCCTCTTAAAAACAGTTAAGGGTTTGATGATAACTACTCTTATAATATGAAGGGAGATGTATAAAGTCTTGGACTCTTTACCCTTATTGAGTTACCTTAGTGTATCTGTTGCACCCACGCTTTTCACTGGGAGTGCCTGCTACCTTCTGCTATCTCCTGCTTTAATAGGGAGTAACTTTAATGTACAGGTTTGAAATTGGTCCCTCTGATTCACGAAATCGTAACGACACGATTGCAAACAAACCATACCACGGGTGGAGTATGGTGCCTCTGCTAACCTTCCTATGGTGTAGAAATATACCTAGGTGGATGAATCTTATTGAAGCTAGCTGGCCCAGTGGCTAACACGACGGTCTGGAGTTTCAGAGACACTGACCGTGGGTTCAAACCCCACCTGTGGTATGGTTTATCAGTCCCTCTGATTTTTCTAGGTATACTATAAATAATGCTGCCTCCTCCTTGCTTGCATTTCAAATAATACAGCCTGAGGAACTTAAGGCGTTTCCAATATTTTAGGTGTGACCGAATTTATACAAACACCACAAAAGTAACTACAGTACGGTACTGTCCCTCCATAATTCCATACATGCACTTAATCTAAAAAATAACATTGCAAATAAATATTACAGTAGCAATATTAAAAACAATGTGATAGGCAGGATGCCCTGAATTAAAGACCAGTATGCCTAATGAATCTAACATGCAGTGCTGAAAAGATCATTAGGAAAAGACTCAAACATCTTCACAGAACAGCTGCATGGATTCAGAAATGGAAGGTCATGCTTTACTAACCTCTTACAGACACAAGATTAACAGAGGTCACCGAGAAAAATAAATGGACTGCATATTCTTGAAGTGTAAAAAAAAGCAAGGATACTTGACAAACTGGAGAAGCAAACTGGGGTAAAGAAGGCACTAACAGGGATACAGAAATGCATGAACAGAAAACAGTCACTAAAAGGGCTGAAACATCAGGCTAGGAGAGTAACCATGAGAGTTCCACAAGTATCAGTGCTAGACCCTGTATTGTTTCTGGTATTTATAAATTATTTGGTTACAGAAGTTAACTCCCGTATGCGCTAGTTTGCAGATACCAGAATAATGAAGCAAATAAACTAAGAGGATGAAAGAAGGCTACAAGTAGACCTGGATAGATTGCAAGAATGATTGGATAAATGGCTACTGGAATATGACCAGAGCAAAAACAGTTATGAAGCTGGGAAAATGGGAAATGAGGCCTAAAGCCAAGTACCATATGTGGAATAGCTCACAGAAACAGTTACACACACACAAAAAAAAAAAATATATATATATATATTACCCAAAACCTATTCCATGAAATGCACTTAAACAGAACAACATTCAGCGACATCAACATTTAGGAACCTAGAGCTGGAGAGTTATGTAAATACCAACAAGGTGGAGCAAATTACATTTGCAGTATGAAGTGAATACTTTTATTAACAACATTTAACCTCATAGGGGCTTTATAAAAGCCCCTGCATTGGCAAAATGCTATTAAAAGGTACCTACTGCATCTAGATGCCATTTACTCCAGTGAGGAACCAAGACAATGACTGGTTCAGAGCATACTTTACCTCATCCATGCGACCAATTCTTGAGTATGCAGCGATGATGTGGAACCCTCACCTAGTAAAACAAAGTGAAAATTGAGAGAGTTCAAAGGAGTGCATCAAGACTGCTGTCTGAACTCAGGGAAATAAGCTTTAAAGAAATTGTGTGAGAACTAGACCTTGTCACTGGAGCAGTGAAGAAGAGAGGATATGATTAGAGCATATAAATACAATAGTGCATAGACAGGATAGAGAAGGACAGGCTCTTACCAAAAAATTCAAGAAAAACAAGAGGAAAGGATAGGAAATTACACACCCACATGAGCCAGAGACATATGATATTTTGTCAATGGAAGAGCAATAAAGAAATTTAATGAGCTGAGCAATGGCACAGTGGAAGCAGACTCCATACGAAGGTTCAAAAGAAGATGACATAAGTCAGTAGGTGAAAAGCTGAAGAAAGACCAAGAGCTAATTTTTTTTTCCCATTCCCCCCTCCCCTACAAGCTCAAACAGTACATCCAAAATGCACATTACAGTATGCAAAAATTATAATATGAAGTAATAGCATGTGTGTGCATGTAAAAAGCACATAGACAAGATGATAATACAATACTGTAGTCCAACAATGCTACAAATGGCTCCCAGATAAAAGAAATAAAAGAATTACAGAGACCAAAAATACTAAAAATGCCTTAGTTGGCTACTAGGCATAATAATCATATATTATTATTATTTCATGCATAGGCCAGGGAGGTATAACATCTTTTAGGAGTGAAGAAGAGCCGGATGTGAGTGAAGGGGAGGTGCATGAGGCATTAGGTAGAATGAAAGGGGGGTAAAGCTGGAACTGATGGGATCATGATAAATGTTGAAAGCAGGGGGGGATATAGTGATGAAGTGGTTGGTACTTTTGTTCATTAAATGTATGAAAGAGGGGAAGGTACCTAGGGACTGTCAGTTGTATAATTCCTTTATACAAGGGAAAGGGAGACGAGACAGATTGTAAAAATTATAGGGGAATAAATTTGCCAAGTATACCAGGTAAAGTGTATGGTAGAGTTGTTATTGAAAGAATTACAGGTAAGAGAGAGCAGGACTGCAGATGAGCAAGGAAGAGTTAGAGTGGGTAGGGGATGTGTAGATCAAGTGTTTACATTGAAGCATATATATATGAACAGTATTTAGATAAATGTAGGGAAGGTTTCATTGCATTTACGGATTTAGAAAAGGCATACGATAGAGTGGATAGGGGAGCAATTTGGTAGATATTGCAAGTCTATGAAATAGGTATTAAGTTACTAAATGCTGTAAAAGTGAGGCTCAGGTTAGGGTGTGTAGGAGAGAGGGAGATTGCTTTCCAGTAAAAGCAGGTCTTAGACAGGGATGTGTAATGTCACCATGGTTGTTTAACATATTTACAGATGGAGTTGCAAAAGAAGTAAATGCTAGGGTGTTGGGGCGAGTAGTGGGATTAAATTATGGGGGGAAACAAATACAAAAGGTGTTTACATGTTACATTTTGCTGATGGACAGTGTGCTTTTGGGAGATTCTAAAAAGAAGTGGCAAAGGTTATGGACAAGTCTAGGAGGGTGTATAAAGAAAGTTGAAAGTGAACATAAATAAAGTAAAGTGAAAGAGGTATCAAATGAGTCAGATAAAGAAAAACTGGGTATCACATTGGAGGGAGGATGAAAAGTGAATGTGTTCAGAAAATTTGGAGTAGATTTGTCAGCAGATGGGTTTTTTCAAAGACAAGGTTAACCATATAACTGATGAAGATAAAAAGGTAAGTGGGCAAATAAGGTGTCTGTAGAGACAAAAAACGTTATCCATGGAGGCAAGAAGGGAATGTACGAGAGAATAGTAGTACCAACATTCTTACATGGGAGTGAGCACAAGTTGTAAATGCTGCCAGTGAGGAGGCTCAAGGCAGTGGAAATGTGTCTTAGGGCAATGTGTGGTGCAAATTTTTAGCAGAGAATTCATAGTGTGGAAATAAGGAGGTGTGGATTTACTAAAAGTATTATTCAGAGGGCTGAGAGGGGTTATTGAGGTGGTTTTGGTCATTTAGGGGAATGGAACAAAATGAAAAGACTTGGAGGGTGTATAAAATCTGTAGTGTAGGGGAGGAGGTGGTAGGGGTCATCCTAGGAAAGGATGGAGGGAGGGGGTAAAGAGGTTTTGTGTGCAAGGTGCTTAGACATACATCAAGCATGTGTGAGCATGTTAGATAGGAGTGAAAGGCAAGGTAATATGCATTTTGTGAAGGGATTCAGGGAAACCAGTTAGCCAGACTTGAGTCCTGGAAGTGGGTAGTACAATGCCTGCACTTTAAAGGAGGGGTCTGGGATATTGGCAGTTTGGAGGGACATCTAAACTGTTGTATTTGAGTGCCTCTGCCAAGACAGTGATTGTGTTAATGATGGTGAAAGTGTTTCATTCTTTTTTGGGTCACCCTGCTTTGGTGGGAGACAGACGTGTTAAAAAAAAAATCAAATTTAAATACACCATTAACCCTTTTGGGGTCAGTCCCGTAAAATTAAGGCTTTGAAGCCAGGTTTGGTCCCACAAAACCATGCCAAAATTCTAGCAGCTTCCAATCTTGCTGGAGAAAGCTGGTAGGCCTACATACGAGAGAATGGGTTTGAATGGTAAGTGTACGCAGTATAAAAAAAAAAATCCTACAACACGCAGTGCATGAGAAAAAAAAAAGAGACTGGTATAAATCAGCGACTTAGCAATGTACGTATTTTTGAATGCTTTTTATGGTTGTATTCCTGGTTTCTAGATCTCATTTGATAAATGGAAGATATATTACAGAAATAGAGATGAGTTTTCAATGGTTTACAGACTAAAAGTACAGTGGACCCCCCAGTATTCTATATTAATCCATTCCTGAGAGCTCATCGAATACCGAAAATATCGAAAAGCGAATCAATTTTCCCCATAAGAAATAATGAAAATCAAATTAATCTGTGCAAGACACCCAAAAGTATGAAAAAAAAAATTTTACCACATGAAATATTAAGTATAATGCAATAGAATAATTACAATAACAATAACAATAGAATAATTGACACTTACCTTTAATGAAGATCTGGTGATGATTGATGGAATGGGAGGAGGGGAGAGTGTCGAGGTTGTTACTCTTTAGAAGGGGAATCCCCTTCCATTAGGACTTGAGGTAGCAAGTCCTTTTCCGGGGTTACTTCCCTTCTTTTAATGCCACTAGGACCAGCTTGAGAGTCACTGGACTTCTGTCGCACAACATATCTGTCCAGAGAGGCCTGTACCTCTCGTTCCTTTATGACTTTTCTAAAGTGATTCACAATATTGTCAGTGTAATAGTCACCAGCACGGCTTGCAATACCTGTGTTAGGGTGACTGTCATCAAAAAAGGTTTGCACTTTAAGCCACATTGCACACATTTCCTTAATCTTTGAAGTAGGCAACTTCTTCAATTTCTCTATCCCCTCCTCCAAAGAAGTTTCCTCAGGTCTGGCTCTTGCTGTTGAAGCTGATCTAGCAGCTCATCAGTGGTTAGTTCATCATTGTCCTCCTCCACGAACTCTTCCACATCCTCCCCACTAACCTCCAACCCCAAGGACTTTCCCAATGCCACAATGGATTCCTCAACTGGCATAGGATTCCCAGGGTTAGCCTCAAACCCTTCAAAATCCCTTTTGTCTACACATTCTGGCCACAGTTTTTTCCAAGCAGAGTTCAAGGTCCTCTTAGTTGCTCCCTCCAAGCCGTACCTATAAGTTTATACAATTGAGGATATTTTAAAGTGATCCTTCCAAAACTCTTTTAGAGTCAGTTGAGTTTCTGTGGTCACTACAAAGCACTTTTGAAACATAGCTTCTGTGTACAGTTTCTCGAAGTTGGAAATGACCTGCTGGTCCATGGGCTGCAGGAGAGGAGTGGTATTAGGAGGCAAAAACTTGACCTTAATGAAGCTCATGTCCCCAGAAAGTCGCTCTGCCAAATCTGTAGGAAGACCAGGGGCATTGTCTAATACCAGGAAGCACTTAAGGTCTAATTTCTTTTCAATTAGGTAATTTTTCACAGTGGGGGCAAATGCATGGTGTAACCAGTCATAGAAAAAGTCCCTAGTGACCCATGCCTTACTGTTTGCCCTTCACAGCACACACAAATTAGCCTTGAGGACATTGTTTTTCCTGGTCACTCTGGGAGTTTCAGAGTGATACACCAATAAAGGCTTCACTTTGCAATCACCACTAGCATTGGCACACATCAACAGAGTAAGCCTGTCTTTCAATGACTTATGTCCTGGGAGTGCCTTTTCCTCCTGAGTAATGTAGGTCCTGCTTGGCATTTTCTTCCAAAACAGGCCTGTTTCGTCGCAATTAAACACTTGTTCAGGTTTAAATTCTTCACTGTCTATGTAATCCTTGAATTCCTTCACATATTTTTCAGCTGCTTTTTGGTCCGAACTGGCAGCCTCACCGTGCCTAATCACACTATGTATACCACTACGATTCTTAAATCTTTCAAACCTTTGCTGGCCTTAAATTCACTCACATCAGCACTAGTTGCAGGCAATTTCTTAACCAAATCGTCATGCCTAGCCTTTTCACAAATGATCACTTGAGAGATGCTATCTCCTGCTATCTGTTTTTTATTTATCTACACCAATAACAGTCTCTCAACATTTTCTAGCACTTGCAGTCGCTGTTTCGTAATCACAGTTGCACCTTTTGCAAGAACAGCTTCCTTGATTACCGTTTTCCTGGTCACTATAGTAGAGATAGTTGATTGGGGTTTACTATACAACCTGGCCAGCTCCGGCACACGCACTCCACTTTCGTACTCTGCAATTATCTCTTTCTTCATTTCAATAGTCATTAGCACTTTTTCTCGAAGGGTTGGCACTAGAAGCTTTCTTGGGGCCCATAGTGACTTATTTTGCAGAAACAAGCACCAAAAACAGTGATAATATGGAATGTACTGAATGTATCCTTAGATGCGCGCATACTGCCTGGCTTGTAAACAGTGGCACACACGGGGCAGTTCAGGCCAC